TTCATGGAATCCTGCGTTAAGTTTAAATTTTCATTATTATTGTTCACTGCAGTGTTTTCATCATATGAATTGTTCGATGTCCATAAAGAATTCTTGCTCATTTGAGATTGAAGCAGCAGCAGGAGAAGCCATTGAAGCAGATGAACTGTCAGATTTATTTCCATTTTCAGATGTACTACAATAAGCTTTATGTTTTCTGTGCCGCTTCACCTGTAGTCGTGTTAGCTCTTGCTTTCGTTTTCTTTTATTGTCACTCATGTCCTGTTAAACAGTTATTTAAACAATATATATACAATACATTCGACCGTAAACTCATTTTCTTAGGAATAAGAAAATGAGTAATCTCATAAAATTTCAACAGCATATATATTGATGTAAATATGATGTACTTTTACTCACCTCTGCAATTAGAAAAAGATTGACTGTACAAAAGATGAAATCAGTAGAGTCTATAGTTTCGAAGCCAGATATAGAGATATATAAAAAACACAATTTCTGATAGCGGTGGATTAACAGCTATTCTATAATAATAACACAGTGCATGTGTATTATATATGAGATTAATACACTGCACATCTGCACATGCCTAAGGCGGACGGACAACACAGCCAAATACTATATAACATCATCAGTTGTCTATCATTAACTTTTTGACATATTGTAGTCACGGTAATAGAACCCAAGTTATTTTAAAACATGTGTGATAAATATAAGGTTAGGTTGTAACCTAACCTTATATTTATTATATCTAATCTTATTAACAATAAGAAAAAATTCTCAAGACAAATTGTACTTTCTACAATATAATAATATTAGTCAAATAAAAAAGGCCCTCGATGTTTTATTATAAATATTATATATTAATAAATATATCAGATTTTTTTACTTTTGAAAATTTGTGTATTAGGGGATACTCAAAAAGGTCCTGATTATTGCCTTATCAGGCTTGCCTGATTATATATAACCAGGCATGCTTGATATGGCACCAGTCAGGACCTGATCTGGCATGCCGTAGTCAGGCATGCCTCATTTATACCTGATCAGGGCCGTACATGACAACAGGCACGCCTGAATAAATTTCTACTCGGGAAGTGGACCGTTGTTACCGATAAGTATGTACAAAATTTACCTTTTTAAAAATATATATTTAAAATAAGTAATTGTAATGTGTAATTTTGGTACAATTCAGTTTGAAAATAAGAATGTTATTGTACGAAGTATTTGCTCCTATTATTTTATTATTGCAATAGATATATAGGTTTAGAGGAATTACAATTGCAACAATTTTTATACATGCTTCCCCCGATCTTGTTTCGAAAAGCAGAAAACTTTATACATGCTTCTCGATCTTGATCCTTGTCTGCGTTTAAACTTTATCAATACCTAACTTCATCTTTTACTGCTGAAATTGAATAAATCTTTCTGTTTTTTTTTTAAGTTGCTATTGAAGTTAAAGTTGCTATTCACATTTTAATTGTGCGCTTTGGATAGTTGCGTATCGACATCGTTGAAGAAATATCTATGATGCTTTTTACAACTCGTGAATTCATGAAAATCTACATAAATTTGGTTTTTTTAGATGTTTATAAGATACTACAATTTTACATGAAAATTAACAGAACTGGCTGGCCAAATTTTATTGATTTACAACGCTACGTTTCGACCCTGGATCCGGTCCTTTTCAAGCGCTCTCTCACAAATATATTCGTCAGGCATAATGCCCTAACTACGCCGAATCTAGAAACTAAACGACATATTTCAGTACTCCGCAATAAGTAAAAGACAATCAAAAATCCGTAATTATACAATTAGAAACTTACATATTTGTGCGTCAGGATCAAACAATACAATATAAAATATTCGTTAAACGGCATACTTCGTTAGATGTTTGTGTCATGTCAGAGCCGTGCGGTGGTAAAATTTAGACTGACAAACTTGACAATATAAAAACAAACAGTTGCCATAGTAATAAGCTAGGACGTAGAGAGGGAAGTAGCGAAGAAGGGGAAGGAGTTATAATTCTTTTATGATATGTTCGTAGAGAACGTTAAGATTCTCCGTGTCCTTTTGTAAATTGATAGTGCCGTCAAATTTTTTAATAAAAAACATCTCCGCTAATTCCCTCTTTCTAGTATGTCTTTCTTGGTGTAATATTTCTGGCTTCCCCCAGTCAAAATCATGCCCATAAGACATTCTGTGTTCGCTCACTACGGAATGATTACTAGTGTGCTTTCTGATATCGCCCTGGTGTTCCCTGAGGTGCGTGCACAAATGTCTCTTAGTCTGCCCAATATACGTAGCCTTGCAATCCCTGCAGTTTATCTTGTATACTGTGTCGGTTTTTTTAAGGATCCAGGGTCGAAACGTAGCGTTGTAAATCAATAAAATTTGGCCAGCTGGGTCGCTCGCAATATCTCTGTTAATTTTAATTATTCACTGGCGACTCAAATTCTCTAATACTGTTTTTAACAGACCTGCTTCAACCAAACCTTCAACCTTTCCATGGAAAGTAAAAATTAATATATCAATTAAAAAAATTAAGTATCTTATGCAAATTTAGAAAAAAAGAAAACTTAAAGTAACATATAAGCAATGAGAAGTGCCGTTTTCGGTCGAAGCGGATCTTGATTCCCTTAATAATATTTCACAATATCAATTATTATTAAATACCAACATGTTTCAGTTTTTTAAATTGGCACTGCGTGCCAATATAGACTTTGTCGGACTTAAAACGCAATTGTGTAAACTGAAACTAAAAATAATATATTTTATATTAATTTGATATTGTCAAGTAAAATAATATACCATTAGAAGAATATTTATAACAGTTATACAAATTCATATGGATAGATCCATTATACATAGAGTGTATATTCATATATGATTATCTTTAACCTTATAAATATACTTTTACGTGATCACACATAATAATATATTAGTATATAAAACCATATATGACTATATAAATTTATACTTAAAGAGGTTTAGCCATATAATATTGTTCAAGATTATATTTTCATTTCTTATATGACCATATATAATTATATATTTACTAATATAAACAAATAAGAGGTATTTTTTCCCGAGTATATAATCAATGACGATGACCCTTTCAAAGATCTTGCCAACCTCATTTAAAAGACATATAGGCCTGGCTTTTGGAACCTCGCCGGGAGATGAGACGTCCCCCTTCGATATTAGAACAAGATCCGCCAGTTTCCAGTTCGTGGGAAAAATTCCTACCCGCATATAGTGATCGTAGGCCAGAGCGAGTCGGTGGACCATACTCGAAGGGAGCTTATTCAATACGGTCGCTTTAAATCCATCAGGACCAGGCGCCGTCTTCGCATTTTTCTTCGCTCTAATTGCCTCTATGACTTTGTCCGCCATAATAGGGGTTCTTACCTCCTCGCAATCGCCAAGATCTACCGGAATCAGTTCTCTACCCGGAGGAAAAAGCTTATTCAGCAATCGACTAAGAATGTCCGGTTCCAAGCTGACGCTAAGCGGTGTGGTGGGCTTACGCAGTTTGCCCATCACCAGCTTATACGGCAGACCCCAAGGGTCATCGTCCAACACATGCACCAACTCCTGCCACGCCAGCAACTTGGCTCTTCTTATTTCAAATTTAAGATTTTGACTTGCGGCAATATAGGCCATCCTTTCGGTTTCCAGAATTTCTGGTCGATTTCTACCCTTTCCGCGAGTCCATGCTCTCCTAGCGGATATCGCGGATATTCTCAGCTGCGCGATAGCATCGCTCCACCAATAGGATTTGCCAGCGCGGCGATTCCACAGACGGGGAACAGCCGCGTCGCAAGCATCCGTGATACATTTGTGTATCCAGCGATCATATTCAACCGCAGCAAAGTATTCTGGATTTTTCGGGGTGACCGCACATCTCCACTCTATTGCTTCCTGGTAAAGCTCCGTGTCCATCTCTTTATAATTCCACCGAACAGTCAATGGCGGTGTGAATTGCTGCACGGGAGAACTCGAGATGCAAAAAGAGATGTACAAATGGTCCGATAAGGATTCGACGTCTTCCCGCACGGACCAACGAGTGATCCTACTCGATAGGTCCGAGGAAGCCCAGGTCAGATCAATGATAGAGATTCCCCGATGACCGACGAATGTTGAACGATTTCCCACATTTTTGAAACGTAAATCCAATTGTGCGGCAAAATCCTCGAGCAGGTCGCCTCTCGCATCGGTAACTTGTGAACCCCACAGTTGAGCGTGGGCGTTGAAATCGCCACATATTAAAACCTTGCCATTATGAGCCACACTCGAACATAGGTTCGTCAATTCTTCAAGGAATCTATTGTGGTTATGTGGTTTTTCCGGTAATAAACTCGAACGCAGACA